TGTCTTGTCAAAGTATAAACCAACTTTTCCATTTTTATCAGAAGTTCTGTTGAAACTCTTTAAAACCTGCTTTTCTCATAATAATAGATCATAATTTTAGAAAACAACTCCTAAGATCTTATTAAACACCTCACTTAGTCCTTCTAACAACTTTGATTTTGTAGAAGAGGAAAGTGAGAAATGGAGAGATATTGGGTCACACAGCTGTTGAGTGGCAGAGCAAGGATTCTAAACTAAGTGACTTGACTGCATAGACTGTCCTTCTAATCTTTATGACTTACTAATCTTTATGAAGTACTCTCCAATCTGTCCAATCTGTCAATTGGAAAAAGTATACCTTCTCATATATTTGTTTGTTGCAAGGTTAAGATAAGGTGTGAAAAGTATAGTGTTATTATATCTGATGTATAATAGGCATTCTATAAATGTTAAGTTTTCTTTCCTTAGCAGCAAAAATACTTTGAGTATTACAATTTAAACAACTTATAAGTAGATTTTGTTTAAAATATAGCATGTTTCATTTTAATAAATAGGGTGGAAGTTTATTATTGGACTAATTCCCTTATACTGCTGTGGGGGCAGGACTGGTCTGGGAGAGATGCAGAACTAGGAAACACGGGAGTCAGACAAACAGGGTTCAAAAGCAAGGTCCACTTTGTAAAGCAGACAGTTGAAGGATTCTGCAGAAAAGCTGCTATGATCCTGGGGAATTCCAGAGCAGAACAAGAAGGTTTTTGGACTCTGTGGTAGGAGCTGATGCCTTGAGCATTTCTCAGACCTCCTGAGGTTCCTTCGTCCTTTGCAGTGGGCAGAGAGAGCTCTGTTGAGGGCACTCTGCCAGCCTTGACCTTGTTGAACATTCTCTGACCTTTGTTTCCAAATTCCCCAAATTAACAAGGAGCATTTAGTCATAGTATGAAACACTCAAGGGAATAAATAGACCTAGTTAACTGTTTATAGTTATAATAACCAAGAATTTAAATTAGGGAATTGCCTCTGAGGACTCTACTTAAATTATTTTCTTAGTCATCTCATCTACTTCCTAAACTCTACATATGTGGGCCTTCTGCCATACATGTCCTTTAAAGTCCAGCTCAAATTCCACCCTTTGGCACTGTACTGACTTGACTTCTTGTGCACCTTGTGCCTAGTGGTTGCTCTGAGTACATTAGAAACTTTAAGAAAGGTAAGGTATTTGTAAGATGGTATTTGGAGGCATTTCACCAATTTGTATGAATACAGATAAGGGTGGAGACCATAAGCAAATGCTTAGTTGGAAATAAGGAAATTGTGTGTGTGTGTGTGTGTGGTATGTGGTATGTATGTATGTTAGTATGGGAGCCAGCAAACTGAATAACATTACTTAAACAGAAGCTTTGTGTTGGAATTTGGAAGATTTTTTTAAGGTTAGATTCAAGTAGGAGGACCGAGGCCAGCATCATATGTGACCTTTCAAGATGGAAGATTTATGAAGATGGAAATGAAATTAGATAAAGATTTTTTAACATTCAAGAGCCATTGTAAGTTCAGGCAAAGAAGAGTAATGTATGGTGAAGTGCCTACTCTGACCCAGACCTGCCTGCCTTCTCAGGTTAGTTGGTTTTACTAGAGCCTCTGTGTGCCGCCTCAGGGAGGCCAGGAGAGGCTCACTGACACTGATTAAGGAGCATTACAGAACCTAGGATTTGTTATACTACTGTTTTAATGTAATTGATAGGAAAATACAATTTATGTCATGTGATTCTTTTTCCCCTTGAGTTTTTCTTACATAGTAAACACCTATAGGAGACTGACCTTAGGCTGCAGCATTATCTATAAGCCAGTAGTCCTGTAATAGGGAAGAAATAAAAGTAAATGAAATCCACATATATAATTTTTGATCAAGCTGTTTTTTACTTTCTTTAACTCTGTGACTACAACTTCTTTTGGATGATTAGATCACAAAAGAATGACTTGCACTTTAATTACCTTTTTTTTCTTTTCTCTGCTTATCCATTTTGGAGTAAATTAACACAAATATACTTAAAGACAGTGAAGAATGAGTGAGATGAGGCAGTAATCCATAACTGTATCATTAGCCCTTAAATAACAGCTCTGAGGAATTTGGATTTGTTCTTGATTGGACAACTGTTTGAGGATTATATCAAGCTGGCTATATTAGTGATAAACTATAAATAAATTATCCCATGAAACACAGGCATTTTTAAAAGATCAGAAATCCAACAAAATAAAAAGCAGCCTACTGAATGGGAGAATATATTTGCAAATGATATATCCAGTAAGGGGCTAACATCCAAAATATATAAAGAACTCATACAACTCAACACCAAAAAAATGAATAATCTGATTTAAAAATAGGCAGAGGACCTGCATAGACATTTTTCCAAGAAGGACAAATACAGATGGCCAACAGACACTTGAAAGATACTCAACATCACTCGTCATCAGGGAAATGCAAATCAAAACCACAGTGAGATATACCTCACACCAGTCAGAATGGCTGGTATTAAAAAGATAAGAAATAGCAAGTGCTGGCAAGGATGTGGAGAAAAGTGAACCTTTATACTGTTGGTGGGAATGTAAAGTGGTACAGCTACTAGGGAAAACAATATGGAAGTCTTAAAAAAATTAAAAATTCCACCTCTGGGAATTTACTCAAAGAAAACAAAAATCACTAATTTGAAAAGATGTGTGACCCCTATGTTTACTGCAGCATTATTTACAGTAGCCAAGATGGGGAAGCAGCCTAAATGTCCAACGATAGATGAATGGAAAAAGAAGATGTGGTGCATATGTATACAATGGAATATTAGCCATAAAAAAGAATGAAACTTTGCCATTTGTGACAACATGGATGTACCAGAAGGTATTATGTTAAGTGAAATAAGTCAGAGAAAGACAAACACCATTATGATTTCACTTGTATGTGGAATCTAAAATACAAAACAAAAATAGACTCATGAACACAGAGAACAGACTGGTGTTCCATAGGAAAGGGGAGATGAGAAATGGGTAAAATAAGTGAAGGGAGTAAGAGGTGTAAAATTCCATTTATAAAATAAAGTAGTCATGGGGGTGAAAGTACAGCAGACGGAGTATTTGCATGTTTACAGATGGTAACTACACTTTTGTGGTATTTAGCAATATATATAATTGTCCAATCACTGTGTTGTATACCTGAAACCAGTATAATACTGTATATCAACTATGTTTCAGTAAAATAAATAAATAAATCCAAAGATGGAAAACATCTTTCAATCCTTATAAAGGTGTGGGAGGATTATTTTTATCATGAAAAATCTCAGTTATAAATGGATTGTTTTTAGTATAAAAAATTCAAATGTATGTAAATAGGTTATTTTTTATTTTGAAAGATTCAAACAAATTTTAAACATATATAAATATATGTAAAATGCAAAAATTTCAAACATATCTACACATACATATAAAAATAGAATAATATAGTGAATCACCTTTACACATCGCCCAGATTCAAGTTATCAAACTGTTATCTCACTTGCTTCATCTATCCCTTTCATTTGCTGAAGTGTTATGAAGTACATCCCTGATGTGTTATTTTACTCCTACACACTTCAGTATGCGTCTCTAAAGCATAGGGACACTTTCTTCCGTGTTCACAATGCTGTTGGCCCCATCCTATTAATAATCCCTTGGTGTCATATAAAATCTAGTATGTATGTAAATGTTCTCTATTACTTGAAAACATCTTTTTTTACATTTGTTTGCTGAAGTTGGAATCTAAACAAGGTTCATATTTTGCACTTGGTTGTTACACCTTTGAATCTCTTTCAATCTTGTGGTTCAGACTGTTGATGCCTGGCTGTGGTGGCTGAGGGGTGTGAGTGGAAGGAAGCAGGAGTGATTGCTTGAACTAGGGAGATTTCATGATAATGTTTATGACTGAAATAAAATATTTTAGGCCAGTGACAGACTGTAAAAAATTCCTCCTTTAGAGTAGTATTAATTATGTATGTAGTTATTTTGTGTAAGACATAGACAACTGAATTTGAGTTATTCTTTGAAATGTTTATTCAGCAACTGAAGTGATCTATCTTATACCAAACTAGGATAAAGAAAAAAATCCTGTATGTGTTTCTAAGAGATCTGACTCTTCACTACAAATTAGAAATCAGTATTTTCTGTAGAATGTCTTTCTTGGTTTAAAAAAGAGGGTGTATTTCTTTTGGACTTTATCTCTTTATTTTTGTTATATTAATTTTAGTTAAATATAATTGTGATTATCCTAAAATAATTGTCTCTATCTACCACTGAATATGGGATTTCTTAGGATAAAACATTATACATTATATAATCTGGTAGGATATAAGTTTAAAAATTTTTCAAGAATTAAATGTTCTTAAGCACTCTAGAGTAACACAATATAATAGGTTAGGATCTAACCAACAGTAATGTCTAAATAAGCTCAAAATGTTTATGCCTCTTTCCAGATAACTTGTTTTATTAACTCTCATTAGGATCTGGTAGAAATTTTATTTGTGATAGTCCACAACTTGATAGAGATGAAAATGATTACTAAAATGTCCTTTAAAATATGTTTTCTTTGACTGTGTATAATCCCTATAAAAGTAGAACATAAATTACAATAAACTATAATGTTTTTTTCTCCTCCATTGGAAATCTTGGGTTTTGCAGTGCAGAACATCTATGAAAGTTTGATTAACCTTCAGAAACATTTTGAATGCAACATTGCATATAAGCCTAGTATTAAAGTTTATTTTGAAGACAAGACACATGTTTTTCTTGTGCGATAAAATGGAACCCTTAATTGCTTCAAATTTTGAAATCTGTAAAAAAGAAGAAAGTAGGCGAAAAGTCGAAAGTGAGAAAATTTTTAGTTTCCTTGTTTCCAAATGTAAAGAATTATTCTTTTCTAACAGTGTTAATGTGTATCAGTGGTTTGCACTTTTATCTTTTGGTACCTAATAATTCCAAATACTTGCTTTTTATATGCCTGTTAGATGTCCTGATGTTGGTCTTCAAAAGCTACCGGAACAGTGGTTGCAGAATGTTTTAGAGGAAGTTAAATGCAGTGATCCTTCATCTAAACTCTGTGCTACGCGGCGCAGTGCTGGAATTCCTTTCTACATACAGGTATTTATCTACAGGACCATAGCTGTTTGTCCTTTGACAATACTGTATTCCAACCCCCTTGACATGTGAGTGAGCACATTGCTTAAGGAACATTGCTGTCTTTTAAGTACTATAGCATTTGTGTCTTTGTTTTTGTGTGTGGACAGTGTGTTCCTGTGACAGACCTATTCTTGGAACAAACCCTCCAAGAGGTCAGTCTAGTAACTCCATGGACAGAGGGTGGTACAGATTTCCACCTAGAAATTAAGTAGGCAGACATCACTGTGACACGGTCATCGCTCACTTCCAAGAAGTGCACATGTTGCCTTTTTTTTCTGAATTAGGAAAAATCATCTTCCCCTTATTTCAAGACCCTTAAGACTCTCTTCTGTAAGTAACCAGTGTTAACAGTTTCTTTTGAATCCTTCTATGAAATGTGCAGGAAGTAATCCTAATCATACAAGTTGCTAACATTTAGAAGTGGTTATTTCACATGTATTATCTTATTGAATCCTTTCTCAAGACTGTGATGTAGGTCCTATTCTCATTCGTATATTGTAGATGAAGAAACTGGGACCTAGAACTAAGTTAATGACTTGCCCAAGGCTATAGGGATAGTAAGAGCAAAACTAAGACTTGAGCCTGGCAGCCGGACTCCTGAGCCCCTCTGCTTATGAGAATGGGCGTGTGTTTGCTTTTTTAACACAGATGACAGCATAGTGTATACACACTGTTTTGCCCCTTGTTTTTTTTTCACTTGGCGTTATATTTTAAAGGTTGCTCTCTATCAGTACACCCAGATATTGTCATTTGATAGGAAAATATTTTATTTCCAGTGTTGAAATTAAGAGGCTGTCACCTTCATGAGTCCAAAGAGTAAAAACCAAAGTCCTCACGGTACTGAATCAGACATGGACCTGGAAGATACTAAAGAAATAGTCAGTAGGATAAAGTCCAGGAATGGAGGTGACATAAATATAAGCAGTGAAAATAAGTGAAATGAAGTCTTTGTTTTCAGTACCCTGACATTGTTTTCTTCTCTTTCTTCTTCCTCCCACATGTTCTGTAAGTCATGATTTAAAAAAAATTTTTTTATTTTGGTATTATTAATGTACAATTACATGAGCAACATTGTGGTTACTAGACTCCCTCTGTTATGAAGTCCCCACCACATACCCCATTACAGTCACTGTCCATCAGAGTAGTAAGATGCTATAGAATCACTACTTGTCTTCTCTGTGTTATACTGCCTTCCCTGTTCCCCACCCCCCTGCTACATTATGTGTGTTAATCATAATACCCCCTTTTCCCCCTTATCCCTCCCTTCCCACTCATCTTCCCCAGTCCCTTTCCCTTTGGTAGCTGTTATTCCATTCTTGGGTTCTGTGATTCTGCTGCTGTTTTGTTCCTTCAGTTTTTTCTTTGTTCTCATACTCCACAGATGAGTGAAATCATTTGATGCTTGTCTTTCCCTGCCTTCACTGAGCATAATACCCTCTAGCTCCATCTATGTTATTGCAAATGGTAGGATCTGTGTTCTTCTTATGGCTGAATAATATTCCATTGTGTATATGTACCACATCTTCTTTATCCATCCATCTACTGACAGGCACTTAGGTTGTTTCCATTTCTTGGCTATTATAAATAGTGCTGTGATAAACATAGGGGTGCATCTGTCTTTTTCAAACTGGGCTGCTGCATTCTTACTGTAAATTCCTAGGAGTGGAATTCCTGGGTCAAATGATATTTCTATCTTGAGTGTTTTGAGGAACCTCCATACTGCTTTCCACAGTGGTTGAACTAATTTACATTATCACGAGCAGTGTAGGAGGATTCCCCTTTCTCCACATCCTCGCCAACATTTGTTGTTTTTCTTTTGGATGGTGGCCATCCTGACTGGTGTCAGGTGATACCTCATTGTGGTTTTAATTTGTATTTCTCTGATGATTAGCAATGTGGAGCATCTTTTCATGAGTCTGTTGGCCATCTGAATTTCTTCTTTGGAGAAGTGTCTGTGAAGCTCCTCTGCCCATTTTTTAATTGGTTATTATTTGCTTTTTGTTTGTTGAGGTGCGTGAGCTCTTTATATAATTTGGATGTCAACCCCTTATTGGATATGTCATTAATGAATATATTCTCCCATACTGTAAGATGTCTTTTTGTTCTACTGATGGTGTCCTTTGCTGTACAGAAGCTATTTAGTTTGATATAGTCCCACTTGTTCATTTTTGCTTTTGTTTCCCTTGCCCAGGGAGATATGTTCATGAAGAAGTTGCTCATGTTTATGTCCAAGAGATTTTTGCCTATGTTTTTTCCAAGAGTTTTATGGTTTCATGACTTGCATTCAGGTCTTTGATCCATTTTGATTTTACTTTTGTGTACGGGGTTAAACAATAATCCAATTGCATTCTCTTGCATGTAGCTGTCCAGTTTTGCCAACACCAGCTGTTGAAGAGGCTATCATTTCCCCATTGTATATCCATGGCTCCTTTATTATATATTAATTGTCAGTATATGCTTGGGTTTATATCTGGGCTCTCTAGTCTGTTCCATTGGTCTGTGGATCTGTTCTTGTGCCAGTACCAAATTATCTTGATTACTGCAGCTTTGTAGTAGAGCTTGAAGACAGGGAGCATAATTCCCCCAGCTTTATTCTTCCTTCTCAGGATTGCTTTGGCTATTTGGGGTCTTTTATGGTTCCATATGAATTTTAGAACTATTTGCTCTAGTTCATTGAAGAATGCTGTTGGTATTTCCCTAAGTCCTGATTTTTGGATGACAAGGGGCACTAGTTGCAGGGGTTGTTAATCTGATACAAAAGTCATCAAGGTGTTTTTACTGGATTGGTTTTAGTGACCTACAGAAATCATCTCCTCTCAGATCTGACCTATTCTGGACCAGTGTTGTTTATTCTCCTGACTGTAATTCATTCTCACCTAGTGTCCTTTGCCTCATTTGTCTGTCTGAGGACCGTTGGTAAGGCAACAGCGAGGTCTAGGTGCATGTTTGTGCTGTGTGCTTATTCCACTTCTGTTCCCAGCTAGTTTAGTACTAAACAGCAGTCACAGTGACAGAGTAATCCAGGTGTGCACTTCCCTGACCCAGCTTTGGAAAGTGTCATAACTATGCACAGCTTTGGGGAGAGAATAAGCCAGGGCTCCCAGAATACATTTCAGTAACTGGGTATAGTTTTCTTATTTATTTTAGTGAGACAAAATCTAAATTATTAGAAAAATCTGCTCAGAGATGTCTCTTTCTCTTAGCACAACTTACTAATAAAGTTATATTCTTATTCTGGTAGGAATGTCTGGTTTGTGTTAGCTATGGAGAAAAACTGCCTCGTAGTTTTTGAGCTTACCTTTTGTGTAGACAGATCTAAACATTTTTGGAATGGTCATTCCAAAAACAGTACGTATATTTTCTGAGCATAAGTATATGGTGAGAAATTTCTCGTTTAAACCTAACTATTTTGCATGTGTATCTTTCCTCTTTTATGGATTACAGTGCTTTAGAGAATGCTGAGTAGCTTGAAATTTTCACTCTTCGGAGCCAGTAGCTATATACATACAAAGTATCCCTGCTCCTCCCATCCCTAAACAACCACTAATCTATTTTCTGTGTCTATGGATTTGTCTATTCTGGACATTTCATATAATATGTGGTTTTTTGTGTCTGGCTTCTTTCACTTAGCATGTTTTTAAGGTTCATCCATGTTGTAGCAGGTATCAGTACTTCATTTCACTTTATTTCCTCAAGTTGATACAATTCTTATGTTTAATGAATACAGGCAAAATATTAGACACACAATAAATTAGCAGCTCTTGAAAATTCAAATATAGGACGCTTTTGGAGTTCATATTATTTCCTTTGTCCCAAGTAGTTACCAATGCTACAATTTGATAGTGTTCCAGGTAGACTCCTTTATGAAGAATTAAATAACTGATTACTTTCCAGGGAGTTTCCAACTCCTTCCAAAAAGTTTAATCCAGAAGTTTTTTGTTTTTTAAGAGAATTTTCTTGTTAGTACATTTGTCACTAAAACTGACTTGCTTATTGTATCTGAGACCTGCCATTTAATTATGGTTCCAAAGAGGTGTCAGCAAGAGTCATTCTCAACCTCTTAGAATGATATAATTAACAAGCAAACTGGAAATGACCTTGAAATTCCATGATAGCACCTTCACCTAATTTTACAGGTGAAAAATCTGAGGGATAGAGAGGTTAAGCTACTTGCTCAAGGCCATGCATGTGGTTTAATTAACTTGCTTGACACCTTGGTTTTATGGATGGGATTTTGCATTTTGTGGTTGTTTCTGGGAAATAACAAATAGGTGTATGTAAAATAAGAGCCCTATTAATTTTTGCCTTCCTATAGGCACTGTTGGCATCTGAACCTAAGAAAGGCAAAATGGATTTGTTGAAAATAACAATGAAAGAACTAATCTCTTTGGCTGGACCTACAGATGACTCCCAAAGCACAGTTCCCCAGGTAATTGTGGAAGTATATGTACCTTGCAAGTAAGGTAGTGGTTTTAAATCTTTGCTCTACTTTAAAAAAAGTATCAGCTAAAGACATAGAACTCTTGAAAGTGAAACAGACGCATGAAGCTATTTGAATTTTTTTGTTGTTCTTCCCAGTCCATAAAATAAAGCATTGCTTTAGTTGATACATTGACCAAAATGAATTATTCTAAAACTCTGGTGAAAACATCCAACTTAGGTATTTTATAATATTACTCTTGCTTGTAAAAATTTTTACATGAATGTGCTACTACTTTAAAATTTTGTGTGTGCTTCTTTGAGTTGATACACATTTTGTAATCCAGCAGTTGATCTTTCCCTAAAATGGAATGTCTATCTTTTGGTATATTCACATTTTAATTTTACGTAGTAGTCCCTTTTAATCACTGCTAATGTTGGGGTAAGTATGTCTGGTATGTATGCAGTCGGGTTAAGTATTCCTCATAGTACCACTCCAGTCCAGGATAGTCAGTATCTGTCAAATACTTCTTGTCTAGGCTTTCTCAGTAAGTGCTTCATATAGGACATTCCTACCCACCTGTGGGAGGCCCATGCTAGGCCAGGGAGCAGAGAGCTGAAGTTTATGATCAAGAACCGTAAGTACATATCATTTTAAATATTTCAGAGCCTGTGGGAAACAGTAAAGGGGAGCCCACTGGCCAGAATGTAGACTAGTAGAAAAGGATGGTGTTTATTATCATATGCCCATACTGGCCTATGACTATAAGATGTGAAGTTTCTTTAAAAATTTTAAATAAAATATTGTTAATCTCAGAAATGATCATTTTAAGATATTTTCCAACAAATATGAAAAATATAATTGGTTCCATTTTTCTAAACTGTCACTTTTAAAAAGTACTATTTTTTTCTGATAACATCTAAAAATAATGGAGTTTGATTTTAAAGAGTACAGCTTCAAGATCATGTTAACAGCATTTTAGTGATCATTTTTATCAAACTTATAAAATTAAAAAATTTTCTCTGGCCAATCTTCTAGGTGTTAGCTGATGATTTGCTTTCCTTATCTCCTTCCATGGTTTCTTTCTTCTTTATTTTCATTATGTACCTGTGAAATACTTCAGCATATTACAATGAATAGTATAATGAACATCCATGAAACCCATTCCAAGGTTAAGAAGTGGAACGTTTCAGATACAGTTGCATGCACTGTGGGCTCCTTCCCCTTCCTGTCCCCTCCTTCCTCCTCAGCTATAATCCCTAATCCAGATCATTCCCATGCATTTCAAAAATTCTTCTATGACCTTTTTTTTTAACATGAAGGGTATCATTTATACATATTTTTACAGTTTGAATCTTTTCAATAAACATTATTTTTTAAGATTAGTAAGCTCCAAGTTCATTTTAATTTCTGAGCACGATTTCATTGTATAGTTTTTGCCTTTCTGCTAGGTATGAAATGGTGCTTCCCAATTCATTTTGCATTTCTCTGATAATTGGCTAGCTTTAACATCTTTTTATAAATTTTTTAGTATTTTGGATTACTTCTGTGAATTGCCTACCTTTAATTTGGTTGTTTGCAGGCACTGAGTTTTTTGTTGTTTAAAAATTTTTTCCTGATATTAATTCCTTTTTGGTTACTTGAATTACGTATATCTTCTCCTAATCTATGGCTTCTCTTTTCACTTTGATTTTGGTCTCTATTATTGCATAGAAGTTTTACATTTTAGTAAGTCAGCCTTTTCTTTTATAGTTTTGTGCATTTGGATTCTGTTTAAGAAATACCCCAAGGTCAGAAGGATGTCTTATGTTTTCTTTTTAAGTTTCTGTCTTTACATCAACTGTAATTTTTTTTATTTATGTGTAAAATCAGAAAACAATTTTAATATTTTCTAATTGGGTAAGTAATTAACAAGCATTTTGATATGGTACATCCTTTCCCCTTGATTTTTAACATCACTTCCATCAGGTGACTGGTTCTGTTGTTATGTGTGTCTGTTTCTGTGCTCTTTTCTATTAGTCTATTAGTCTAGCCCTGGGCCAAAATCAGTATTTCAATTACTATATCTTTTAATAAGTTTTGATAGCTGGTAAGGTGAATCTCACTTTTTTTTCTTCAGAATTACCTTTGCTGTATTTGTCCCACTGATCTTCCATGTAAGTTTTAGAACCACTTGCTAAATTCAACGAAATGCCTATTCTGAATTTTGCCTGAAATTTAAGTTTATTGATTTACTTGAGAAAAATGACTTCTTTTTTGATAGGGAATCTGCTAGTCCATGAGGTTGGCTTATTTCTCCATTTATTAAGATCTTCCTTAATGTCTTTCATTATTTTAGAAAACAGTTTTCCATAAGGGTCTTATAGATCTTTTGTAGATTTATTTCCACATGTTTTATATTTTTTTGTGTGATTATAAATAGTATTAAATTATATTGTGTGTTGCTGGTGGGCATAAATCCAATTAATTTTTTGGTTATTGTTGTGCTTATGTTCAGCACCTACCTAAATTGTGGTACTGCCACTAATATAGTGTGTAAGTTCTTTTGGATTTTCTTACTAAATAATCATATCCTCAGTAAATAATGCTAAATTTGTTCTTCCTTTCTAATTCTTATTCTTTAAAACATTTATCTTATTCTGTTGACTGAAATGTGTACAGTTTTGTATGGAAATAGAGATAGCAGGCATCTGTATATTGTTTCTAATATTTGCTGGGTTTTAATCTGGCTTCTATTTCATTACATAAGTCAAATTTTATTGAATGCTTTTAAGCATCTTTTAAGATAAATGTTTTCTTCTAGAGTTTGCAAATATCATGAATTCTGTTGACTTTCAATATAATATGATTATTTGCATAATAATTGATTCCCCAACTTTGACATGAATATGCTAGACTCACTTAAAATTTTAGAAATATGTACTTTTGTATATTTTCACAAAATTCATAAATGAGATTGGCCTGTGCTTTTCCTTTTCTATGCTGGACTGTCCTTATTTTTTATGTAAAGTTTTTATTGAGTTATAACATACATACAAAGATGTGTACAAATCATATGTGTCTCTCAATAAAGTTTCACAAAGTGAACACACTTGTGAAACCAGCAAGAGACAGAACATTTTACCATCTGAAAAACCCCCTCATGCTCCTTTCTAACCAACACCTTTACCCCAAGGGTAACCCCTAGCCTAACTATAACACCTTAGTATTAATTTTACCTGTTTTGAATTTTATGTAAAGGAAACCGTATATTGTATACTCTTTTAATATGGTTTCTTTTGGCCATTATGATTATGATAACCATTTATGTTGTGATTTATTCATTTTTATTGCTGTATAATATATAATTTATCCATTCACTTTTGAACATTTGGGAGTTTTTAACTTGGGGTAATTAAGAATAGTACTTTTAAGAACATTCTTGTACATGCCTAATGGTGAGCATTCATGTACATCGCTTTGAGTAGCTACCTCACAGTGGTTATTTGGGTATGTGTCTATTCAGCTTTAGTAGATACTACCACTTCACAGAGGAGTTGTCCCACCTTATTTTGATAGTCAGGCTGTACAAGACTGATAAGATAAATTTGGGAGTTTTCTGTTCTCTAACCAGTTTATATAAGTAAAATTAGGTTTGTCTCTGCTTTGAATAGAATTCATTTGTAAATTCATGTGGTTCTGTTTTTTTTTTTTAATTTGCTATTTCTTATTGTAGTTATTTTGTTGGACTTGGTTTTTTATTTTCCTTTCAGTTTGTGGGTAGGATTTTTAACTATTGACTTTCTTTATATAATGGTAATATCTATCTAGCTTTTCAATTTCTCCTTAAATTTGTTTTGATAAATTCTGTGCTAGGAAGTTGTTCATTTTGCTTAAATTTTTCAAATAGATTAGGATGGTATTATTCATAGTATTTTTTTTTTTTGCTTTATTCTCTGATAAATCTGTAGTTGTGTCCTCTTTGGTATTCATGATATTGCTTATATCTTCTCTCTCTTCTTGGTTTGTTTCTATTTCAAAGAATCAGCTTTTGTTTTATTAATGCTCTTAGTTATGTCATTGCTATTTTCAAAGTTACTGCTCTTTGAGTTTATTGTTTTCTATCATCTTAATTGGGCTCTTAGAATATTAATTTTCATAGTCTTTTTAAATTAGAAGCATTTAAGGTATTAAACATTTATTTTAAGGTATTAAGGCATTAAACTTTTTTTAAAATTCCACTTAAAGTGCATCCTGCAAGTGTTGACGTGTAGCATCTTCATTATTGCTCAGCTCTAAATACAGTATTAAAAAGTTTCTTTGACCAGTGTTTTAAAGTGTTTCAATTTTAAAAATATTTAAAGAAATAGATTTCTAACTTAATTCCACTGTGATCAGACCAAAATCTGTAATATATTAGTTGTTTGGTATTTGCTGAGACTTATTTGAGGCTATGTTTGAGGTCATTTTAAAACATGAATGTTTCATGTGTGCTTGAAAAGAATTGTCTCTTTGTTAGTCTCAGGATTCTACATATGTGCATTGGATCAAGCTTTTCTGTTGCCATGTTCAACTCTTTAACTTTTTAGAAATTGATTTATCCATTATTAGGTGTATATTATTAAAGTTTTCTATTTCATTTGTGAATTTTCTATTCTAGTAATTCAGTATTTTTTTTGTTTTGCTTTTAGGCTATGCTGTTGGATACATACAGATTTAGAATTACCATGGTCTTCAACAACTAATTTTGAACTTTCTCTTGTAGGTTCATGCTTTAAATATCCTTAGAGCCTTGTTCAGAGATACACGTCTGGGAGAAAATATTATTCCTTATGTTGCTGATGGAGCTAAGGCTGCAATTCTGGGCTTTACATCACCCGTCTGGGCAGTAAGTGCTTTTGCCATTTATTTTCATTGACATAATTATACTTCTGAGTAGATTTTAATAAACTAACCTTTTACTGGATGATAAATATGTACTATGTTTTATCAAGGAGTTTCTCTAAGGGGTATATCCTAGGATCTAGTTGGATTTTGACTCTTGGTATTTTATGATTGCATTCTGTCTCCTTTGGTGTCTTATTAGCCATAACTCGTTTTCTTATTTTAGTGATTGCTTTAAGCTTTATAGTAGGTATCTTTGACCTCATAGTCTACCCTCAAGTGATATTATACCAGTTCAGTTAAATTATAAGAACCTAGCAATATGTTCTTTCATTTTTCTCCTTCCAATCTTTGTGCTGTTATTATACATTTAATTTTATGAAAGTAGGTAGACCCACACAGTATGTTATTATTATTATTGTTTAAACTGTCATTTCTTTCTTTTTTAAGATTTGCCCATTTTAACCATTATTAATTATACAAATCAGTGGGATTAAGTACACTCACAGTATTGTGCAGCCATAACCACTGTCCAGTTTCAGAACTTTTTCATTATCCCAAACAGAAGCTCTGTACATATTAAACAGTAACTCCCCATCATCCCCTTTCCCCAGTCCCTGGTAATCTTTGTCCTGTTTTCTGTCTCCATGAATTTGCCTTTTCTATATACCTCATATACACGGAATCATATAATATTTGTCCTTCTATGTCTGAATTATTTCACTTAGCATAGTGTTTCCAAGGTTCATCCATATTTTGCAGCATGTATCATAATTTTATTTTTTAAGGCTGAGTAGTACTTCATTGTGTGTATATGTGACATTTTATTTATCCATTCATCCATTTAGTTTGTTTCTTTTTGGCTCTTGTGAATAATGCTGCGTTGAATGCTGATATACAAACAAGTATCTGTTTGAGTCCTTGCTTTTAATTCTTTTGTATATATCATTATGGTAATTCTATATTTAACTTTTTGAGGAACTTCCAAACCATATTCCATCGTGGCAGCACTATTTTATACTCACATCAGCAATTTACAAGAGTTTCATTTTCTTCACATTCTTGCCAGTGCTTATTATTTTCTGTTTTTTTTTTTTAATAACAGCCATCCAATGGGTATGAAATATATATCATTCTGGCTTTGATTTGCATTTGCCTAATGATTAATTATGTTGAGTTGGAAGCATAATGACTCTTAGTAGTATGTTAATGCAATTTCTTTTAGATACTGTGAGCTCTGTGTATCAGTATGTTAAGGGAGTACTATAAATATGCTCTATCAAAAGGTGAAAAAAACAACCACTCTCAAAGAATTAAGATGGGAGAGGTAAAATACTGAGTCACTTCTTTTTGGCAGTAGGATCACCATGCAGAAACTTTTTGATTAGAACTTTAAAGATAATGGGCAGTACCCAGTTGGATTTAAGAAATTTAGAAAACATTTTTTCATGACTTATGGGAGAAACATTACTACATCATTGTGTCTCCTAGAAAAAAGGAGAATAACCTATGGCTTGTAGATGCTTGATATGCAGCTTAAAAAAAAAAGACTGGCAAAGGAGAGGAGGAGAGTAGAAAAGAAGCTGCTAGACCTTACACATTACACACAGCATGGAGAGTTTGCCAGAAAGGCAGGCATTCTGATTGGTGAGCTGCTCACACTATTTCAAAACTGATAAGCCTCTAATTGAGAGTCAGTATATTGCACTGTAGCAAAAGGCACAGACTCCCAATGTAAAGAGGAATTCTCAAAGTTTGCCAATTCTTGTCTGGAAAACTGTGCATTTTCCTGTAAGGAAGAAAAACTTCTAAAATTCTGTCTAAGAACATTGCCTAACTGTTCCCAAGGGCACAGTCCTTAGCTTTTGTGCTTACAGGAAACAGAGCAATACCTGTATGCCATCAGGAGTCACAGAGGTAGGAATGTGGTTTGACCATCCAGAAAACTAGAGATCATAAAACTGATTGCCAGAAATATCGGTTGTTTTCTTCAAGCCATTAATTCAAATGAGCAAAGAAATGTTTTCTGTGAAAGGGCTTTCAGAGAGTGAAACCTGGTGACTTTTCTAACTGTTTAGCAAAATTGAAAGTATCAGATGAGTGGTTCATTTTTTAAAAGGTTTTTTTAAGGTTAAAAAGACCTTTTAAAGTAGTAACTGCATGCTACAGAAATTCTGAAATAAAGATATTTTTAAAATAAAGAAAAGCATAAAAAGAAAAGTAAAAGTCATCTGTTAAACCACTATGCAGATCTAACCTTTATTAGCATTCTGCTGCATTGTCTTCGTCTTTTTTCTGTGTGCATTTTATGTTTGTGTAGTATTCAGATGCACACATCTAACCACAAAAGATTGTATAAATATATATATACACAATGTATGTGTAGTTTATTTTGGGGATCTTCCTTTTTAACACTAGTTATGAAGGAATTTTTTTTTTTGTTTCTACTCAGTTTGCTTTATTACAGAAAATGAACATGATAGTTGTAATGATCCATACTGTGACCTTAATATATTGATTGTTATGTTTCCTTCCTTATACAAACCTACCTAAAATACCCCAAAATTATAAATCAACATAACCAAGGAATGTAAAGAAGTCTTCATTTTACAGAAAAATTTACCATAGCATTTTCTGTTGAAGTCATTTAAAGAGTGATTTTTTTACTGAACACAGGTGAAATGTGGTTTGATTTATAGAAATCTTATTTGTACACATTTTCTCAGAAACATATCATATGCCTAAAGGCAACTACATCTATATTTTTGACTTAATTGTTTTTCTTGATAAGTTAGAGAGGAAAAAAACACAAGTAAAATGGACTTGATTTTAATTTTGCAGTAAAGGAACACTTACAAGAAGCATTCATGTATCTATTTAATTTGTTTTTATAGATGCTTCAGTCTTTTGTGTTGAGACCACACAAATCTCTTGATCTTTGCCACCTGTTAGGCATTTTTAAAACGCAGGGGAAATGTATTGTTGTAAGCATAGTAGGCACTAGGCACACCTACTATGTTGCAAATGGTATTTAAGCACTAGAAATACAAGGATAAATAAGACCTAATTTTAATAATGGCTGTCTTATTGAATATTTTCCGTGTCCCTGGCATCATTTACATTGATTATCTCAGTTAATGCTTAAAATAACTTTGGAAGGTAATTCTATTATTATAATTCACGTTTTACAGATAAGGGAAACAAGGGTCAGGGAGGTGAAATAACTGTCTAAGGACACACAGCTATTATCTGACTCCAGAATCTGTGCTATTATAGGGGAAACTTCTGAGTGTTAGAGGCATACAGAGAAGATGGATTTTATCTATCTTGTAGGGTTTTGGTCCTGTTCCTTAGGAAACAGAGCTGGAGGTATAACCTAGGTGCTTTCACTGTACTTTCACTGAGTAGTACAAACTCAGCCCAAAGCAGTAAGAATGAAGGAAAAAGAGAAGTGAGGCCAGGAAAGAGAAAAGACATTACTAAGCAGGCCTTAAACTTGCTGGAAAACTGAGCTGGTTGTCTAGCCATGTGGTATATCTTCCAGCCAGGACATATGAAACTACTATCTCTTGAATCAGTCCCCCTTATTGGTCAGGGTTCACCCTTTGGGGCATTAACAAAACTTGGGCCAGTGTTGGCATAACCCTTAGGCAGCTGCTAGAGAAGCCACGTCCCATGCCCTGTAATGTTGCATCTTATCTGAATCTGGAAATGGCTGAATGAATCACAGCCTCCCTGGATGTAGTTGGCACAGACCTGGGGTTTAAAATTTTGGCTCCCACTGATGTTGAAAAACCCTGCCTGAGACAGTGTCACATAGGGGAGTGATGGGATCTGGCTGACCTAGTTACAAGGAGGGACTTGATTGTCAGGTAGAAGGAAGGAGGATGTCCAATCAAGAAGCTTCTATAATGATTCTGCCAGGAGATGAGTCTCACAATAGAGAAATATTTAATAAAGATGGTGATAAGTGATAATCTTTGTCATATATTTTAGGGATGAAGCTAGTTAAGTTAAACATTTAGGTAACAAAAAGTAACATACATGTGGAAACGAAACAGAATTTTCTGGGCAGTTTTGGAAACTTGAGACATTTCTGGGCATTCCCTTTTTTATGATTGTTGACTATGGAACACCTGGTTTTCCTTCCCTGCATCCTAATTGCCGGGCAGGTAACTCGTCTTTCCAGCTTGCCCAGGAATTCCACAGAGTATGGCGCGTTGGGGTCCTTCTAAGCCCCACAGTGGGTTTATATTTCTATCTGGCATATCTTTAGTTTGCTTCCTTCAGACCAACTGTGGTTCACAATGTGCAGTGGGTTACAGAGGAGGAAAAAGAACCTTTCAGATCTTCCCAGTAGCACTGCCATATGTCCTCTGTCCTCCTCTTGGCACCAGTGTCTCTCCAGGCCCTTGGGTAGTTGTGAGGTTGCCACAAAGGTGCTAGGCTGAGGGCTGTGCATGCTAAAACCCAGCCCCCCTCTAATCATCATGCTACATGCCTTGGCATGGAGCTTTGTTCACTCACAGCCAAGGTACTTTTTCCTAATTCATGCATGGATGGTGTATATGAGCTGGGGGAAGCTCCACCTCTTCTTTTGTCTTCTTATCCGAGAAGTGTCTTTCTACTTCTAAGGTCAGCATAAACTCCAGAATGTGGTTGGCCTTCCCCTTAGTCATAGGCCCAGAAATCCCAATATATTTTTCCTGGATTACAGATGAGACACTTGTGATTAAAACTTTTTTCAAGGTTACATGGCTAAAAATCGGTGGAAGGCAAATTAAAATTCAAATCTCATTTAATTTTTTTCAGGAAGTATTTCTTTCTACTACAAATTGGCCCCATGTACACTACACAGAATATTTTATAGTATTATATGCAGAACCTAGCCTCAAAGATGTCTATTAAGGGTGAAGATGTATGATGTGTAAATAACCGTATCACCTAGTGATGCCACATGGTAGACTCTCCATTCACATTTCCAAAATATTTGTCAAGGGAGCA